CATCCCAGCATGTGACTGGCTAAATGTCATTATCCTAGGTCTCTTAGTTATCCAGAAGAAGTTGTTTAAAGATATTCTAAGACAATTGACCCATGTGACCTTGAAAATTGATGCAGGTCATTCATTTGAACAAACTTGGTAGCCCCTCATCCAAGCATGCTACAGGCCAAATATCATCACCCTGGGCATTTTGGTTATTCAAAAGAAGTTGTTTAAAGTAAAATATTGACGCCGGACGACGGACGGACGTATTCCGGACGCCGCACCATGGCATAAGCTAAGGGCCAAGCGAGCTAAAAATGTACCATTCTTAGGCACTATTTGCCTACTCCGTTCAAAAAATTTAAATGGTTTGTTTTCAATACAAACAATTAAACAGCTTCATCACTCATGTATGTCTTGCAGTAATTACCTAAAACCCAAGCACAAACAAAATATTGCTTCATAGTCTTTGCATATTTTTCAGAAAAGAAAACAGGTTTCCAAATCTTCATTCATCGTTAGCTTCAAATTATACGTGAAATTTAAACTCTAAATAGAAAAGAACTATGTCGGGCTCACTTTAGTTGGTGATATTCAACTTAACTAGGTTTCACAACATTTGTTTTGCGTTTGTTTTAGTACACAATTTTCATAAAGAGGAACTGGGTTAACTTGGATTCATTAGCAGTCTGAGTTGACATGCATATGCTAAAATTGGAAGATTTATTCTGAAAATAGTGTGCCACAAGTAAACTCATCACGAGTTCTAGGATCCGTCGCTGAATATATATTTGTCTTTAAAAAGCTTCTAAATAAACGTTCCTTTAGGAATTTTAAACCACCATAACTACAAAAATAGTGAAACTTTAGTATTCAGAAATTATACCAAAAAGTCATATTTTACTGGCTTCCCATACTTCACTGGCATAAAACAATATACTATTTACATAAGTGTCAAATAGGTTTAACAAAGTCTTCACATATAGATTCAATGTAGAACATTTTGAGAATAAGGCAAACATGGCCCTGCGCCCTTGTTCCGTTTTTGCATGCAACTAAATGTATTACTGAACTTCAATTTAACACCTAGATATGTGATGTTCTGCGACAACTTCACCATTTAGGTGCCACATTCAATTGTTTCTCTCCTTTTCGCATTTACGGAACACCACAGTCATTGTTTTATTCGTATTAATAGTCAGATTTCATTTCTTTGAATAATCTGCTAGGTTATCGAGTAGTTCTTGCAATCCTTCAACAGATTCAGAAAATAGCACTAAGTCTTCCGCATAAAGCATTTAAAACCGAATCAGTTTTTCAAATTCATTGTGGATTTTACATTTGGAGATAAAAAAAAAAAAAAACGATTCAAAGTCGTTAATGTACATAGAAAACAGTATCGGCGATAAAATTATTAAAATCTTCAGTTTTCAGTCCATTTTAATAGCATAAGGGAAAAAAACCATGAACAATACAGGTAAACGCTGTTGGAATTTATACTTTAATCCTTTCAACAACTTTTTTTCTTCTAACACTGGGGACAAAAAGAAACGCTCCGGTACACCATACTACCTGTGCTAGAAGGAGGATCGGTTGTATACTAGCGGAAAAAAGAAACTGTGCATGCGGAGAATTGTTATATAACATGTATTACCAACTGTATATACATGAAAATTCACACACATGACCGAGTATGACACATACACACTATCCGTGTGTCATTGACAGTTTTCCCCGTGCAGTTTGCTCTCTATAGGCATTGACCAGTTTGCACGTTTTTCTCGTCCAGCCATCCAATTCGACAATGAAAGTTTATTTTTCAACTGTTTGGTCACTCTGTTGATACCAGTGAACAGTAAACACAGCATTATAACGTTTTAATTTGTGATTAATGCTATGCCGAGGCTCAATGAAAATGACCGCCTCCGGATTATTGGTATGCTTCAAGCTGGTATGGACCAAGCCGTTGTCTCTACACGTTTTCATGTCCATCGAAACACAATCCGGGATGTGTGGAGACGATGTCAACAGTTTGGCCACGTCAGCGATCGACCTCGTGCGGGACGTCCACGTTTGACGTCACGTCAACACGACAACCATAATCGGCTTGTCCATTTAAGGCGGAGGCAGCGTTATGATTTGGGGCGGCATCACAGCCAACGGGAGAACGCCTCTGGAGAACGCCAATCACACAAAGCTCGTGTCGGTATGAACTTTCTGGCCCAGCAGAACGTTGACGTGTTGCGCTGGCCTGCTGTATCCCCCGATCTGTCGCGCATTGAACACGTCTGGGATGAAATGGAGCACAGATTACGGGCATGATCTAATCAACCGGTGACTTTGGCTGATTTGCCTGCAGCGTTGGTACAGATCTGGAATGCAATCCCACAAGCATTCTTGAACCGTCGGATAGGCTTAATGCGTCGACGTTGCCAGGCTTGCATTCAGGTTAACGGTGGACATACGAGATATCAACTTTGTGACCCCTGCTGTGTTTACGTCACTCCTGAGCGGAACTTATTGATTCCATAACGTGGAAAAGGGAATGCAACTGTTAATAAATAACAAATAAATTGTCCCTGAAAACCTTGTTGTTCTACGTCATACACATTTATTTTTATAACACATTTTAGGCATGCACAGTTTCTTTTTCCGCTAGTATAAATGCCCTTGGGACATGACAGTCACATGTAGGTATCGTAAATGCCCTTTGGCTATAGTATTAATTGGTAAGGACTATAGGTAAATGATATACTATTTAAATCACAGGTAAGATATTTCGATGTGTAAACTGTGATTATTACGACATTGTATCTCTCAGCTTGACGTTACATTGAATGAATTTGATGCAGGAACGGAATTAGATTTCCGCGATTCAGGCTTGAGTGTATAACTTTTTTTTCGAAGAACATTATCGATGTCTTTATTTGTTGATTGATGATTTTTCCCATACAACATATACTGGTTGCTGTCTTTACTAACACACTATGACATGTAAAGGGCGTGTCAGAATGGGTAGACTAATGAACAGGGTATCAAATAAGTCTTGCCACTGTGACGTCACACATCACGTGACTTCGTACCGAGCTCAAAACATGCATATTCTCTAGGCTGATATAGATGAGGTGTCACCTGGCCTGTCTACCCGAGTACCGAGAGTGACGGCGTGTCGGTCATTAAACGTAGTATTGCATCAAATGACCGTAAAATATGAAATTATAAAACATTGAGGCCAAAATCCTTTAAAGACACTTATTTTATAATCGATAATCTCATTCATATTCAGATTTGACGCACTTGCTTATAATCAGATTCGAATACAACATTCCAATAACAATTTAGAAGCAGAGAATACCAAACTGTGAAACAAGCAACTTTCGATATATGTTTCGCAATTTTTCCGTTATCCGTCGACATGCAACGGAAATCATGATTTTAAGAGCAATATCTTGCATACCGAAGCAACGGCGATGTGTAATCCCCGTAGGATAGGGAAGCCATTATATTACAATTAAGAAAGGGAATGTTTACGATCAGAATACCGGAATCATCAGGCTTATTGTAGATCCTAACAGTAAGTTGTCTCCGGTGGTCATGTTGTAAGTGAAGAACTAGGTAAGACACTGGTGTAGACTAGTTTGTATTGTCCTTTAATTTTAAGTTCACCAGTTTTATTGTATCTTTATATATATTAGGTTATAGAGCGGGACTTGGACATAATTATCGAAATCCTATTAAGTGTAATGTATATGGAACTTGATTAAGATACTCCAGGAAGCACACTGAACAGACAGACACATACAACTTTCGGGACATAATCCATTTAGCATTACATATTTTTAAACTGATGACAATTATTTAAGATATCTGAGGTGAGGAATCGCAGGAATTTGAAAACTGCATAAACTCGAAACTGATTGACAGGATTGATTTCGCTTTTTTGCTTGTTTATTCTAGCCTGTTATCAAATCATAACTAAAACAAAAAGAAGAAAAAAACACATCGTAAAACAAAATACCTTCAATAGATAAGAATATTCCAATGTTGATCAGTTCCATGTTCGGGTGGTTTTTTTCCTTTTTCTTTAGATGTATATGGTTCGGCGCTTATACTCGACGTCCTCCAGAAGTACCCTGATTGGGTTTATAGTGTTAAGTTCTCGCTGTTGTCGAGTGGAATTGTCTAGGCGTAATTGTATCATCCTGCTGTCAAATCAGTCTTGAGTAGTAAAGTCCAGTGTTGTATCATAGTACTTATCTGACACTGCTGCAAATGTTTACCAATAGCCTCTTACGGCTTATTCCATATCAGTATATTAGTAGAATGATAAGTATCCCTTTCTGCTAAATGTTTACACCCACCGCTTTCATTCTGCTCCTACCACGCGCAGCAACCGCAATGTCTTCCACATTGATTTGATTTGCTTTTGGTTTGTTCACGTGCCATTATCAGCTAAGGTCATTGAAGGACATGCCACCATGTGAGAGACACATGATTGCATGAGTGTATGTGCTGGAGGTGGTATGTTGGTCTATTTGGCACCTTGTGATAGCGCTATCTTCCTGAAATACCATGCCAAAAGCACCTAGCCCGTTATTCAACCCAGTTACGTTATACTGACATCATGTAATTCAGTTGTTGCAATATACCAAAATATTGAACGTATAGTAGGGAACAAAATCTACCATTTTTAAGTATTTTGATATGTCCTGGTCTTGGAACAGAACCGACTTCTTACCTGGTATGAAAAAAACGTTCAACATTAAAGCCAAATTTTGTTTGGAAACAAAATGAAATATATTAATACGAATTGATGCAATTGGGGAAACAGACGGATGACGCTACTTCCGATGATGACCGACAATGGACTACTGTTCAATAGTTTTAAGGTAAATCAACCAATTGCACACCCTATCCCTATAAAATTGTAGGCTGCTAAAATAAGATTGCAGACATTCCTTACGTGAACAATGTACTTAATGGATGAATACCAATATATGTTACTTTTACAATGGCAGGTTACCCTTGCGGTCAAAGCGTAAACAGATTTGGAGTACGCAAAATGGGCATTCTTTCCGGACTGCTGGCTTCAGTCGGACTCTCTGTTTCCTTTTTTGCAACAAGCATCCCTTATCTCGTCATCACTGTGGGTATAATAACAGGTAAGCAAATATAAGCTATCATTCTGTGTTCCCAGGGTTTGTCTTGAGAACAATCTCTCAAACCCTGAAAACATTGTTTGATCAAATGTGTATCATTAATATACTACTACCTTATGTATTTCTTCATAAATAAAAAAGAAAACTTAACACCGTATTTTCCAAACGACTCCTAGCTATAGGCTAAGTGATCGATCCTCTGTCGTTTAATTTTTTGTATTTAAGAAAATGCATTCCCAAATTGGACAATCCGTTTTCATGTTCTAATAAATTAACCATGTTACCAGTGGGTGGTATAAAGTAGTATATAGATTATAATAACTCATATCATATGTTGGGTGAAATAAAAGATGCGACAGGTGAGAATTGGGGAATCAAATACTAGGTGAAAATATGAGTGTGATCATGTAATCTTGCCAGAACCATACATCAGGTAAAATAATTGATATGCTAACGTTTTTATGATGAAAATATGCTCAAGGTGAATAATTAGTGTGGTCTAAAATCATGCCAAAATACGCGTCTGCTCACAGTTCACACAAGCCTCTTGTGTTCTGCTCCTACCACGCCCAGCAACCTCAACGTCCTCCACATTGAGAGACAAAGGAAACAATCTTTGAAACCCATAATGGCCTTCACATAAAATCTTGGTGAAATGGCAATTGTAAGTTCAGGTGATGTGTAGTATTCAATCATTATTTGGTGTTTTAGTACGGAATATTCACAGCCTTGCTGAGTCACTAACTACATAATTTCAAGTTTTCCTATGTGCACTTTCATCATCATCATCAGTTGAAGAACCTGGTGGATGTAAACATTCTTCGCGCAAAAATGGTTAATGACTTGATTTTGATGTACCATTTCCATCGGCTACATATTCACACTAAACACGCTGGTTCTTACAGGTCTAGGATTGTCATTGGCGTATGTAGCGTCTACTACTGCAATAGGTGAGTATTTTACTGGAAACGCCCGGCATCTGGCTATGTCTTTTGTGGCATGTGGATCTGGATGTGGTTCAATGGTTTTCCCGTACCTATTGGACAGGCTTATTAGCGTGTTCGGCTGGAGAGGATGTTTACTCATTGTTGGAGGACTCATGGCGAATATGATCTGCCTGTCTGCCATTTGTAAACCCCTAACAGTCGGTTTGGCGCAGTCGAAATATGTGCAATCAAATAAAACCAATTTGAAGCCGCATCAAATCAATGATACTGGACTAAACATTTCTAACGGACATACACATTGTTTCATGAAGCTGGTTTTGCTATCAAAGAACTATGCCTTTATCATCTTCATCCTTGGTATAGCATGCACTATTCCTGTTTTTAATTGTATTCTGATTTACATAATAGACTTTTTGAAGACAAAGTCATTTGACAGTGAGGAAGCATTGCTGCTTTATCTCTTTATGAGTGTAGCCAACACGCTGGGTAGAATGATTCCCGGGTTATGTAAGTACATACCTCATGTGAGTTCACTGGTCATACCAGCACTTACTACAATCATAAGTTGTATTTCGACTGTTGGACTATTGTTTGCAAATACATATAAACAACACCTCCTTCTGATGTGTGGATTCGGACTAGCGATGGGCAGCATTGTAACGGTGATGTCGATGACGACCATTACGCTTGTTGGACTAGCTAACTTCTCTGTTGGTGTGGGGATCCTGATGACGGTTACCGGTGTCAGTTCCGTGTGTGCTGGAACCATTTCAGGTACGCATGCGCTGTGTTAGTGGTACAGGTAGATAACCTCAACTTTGATTACCACACTCAAGTGTTGATGCCCTTGATACAAAATACAGAGAAGAGTGTTATGCTATCATTGCGCAGCTATAAATATTATAAAAAATACAGATTGAATTCAGGAGATAAAACTATCATTATAA